AGCTTTCGTCAATATTTCCCTTATCCTTTCTTTGTCAGAAATTATCGTAACCTGCACGATTTTCTTATTTCAGTCAGTCATCTTCCAACGCGAGTAACCGGGAAATCTTTCGCTCACTCTAGGAAGCAATGAAGAATGGAGGAGATTTCGGTTGGTATTGTTTTTCCTCTGTGTTCGTGCTTTCTTTCTTTCCTTCTGTAACATAGTTTCGCATTTATTTTTTGTTTTTATGTATATCTGTGTAGCGATTCCAGTTGCTTAACAGCTCTGTCTCAGCCGACGACGGAGTTCAGCTCACTGCTGTTCAATTGCAGCTAATCAAAGAAGCCCATTCTCCACCAAAGCCTAAAGATGTTCAAGGTATGTTGTAGTCGTTGTGTGTAGGGCTATGATTCTATAAATTCGCGAATTTCTTTCAGAAGCGAACGTTGCAGTAGCTAGAGACGCTGAATTGCGAAGGGCTGTGTACGATACAATTGTGCAATTATCGGAAATTGTCTCAGAAAATGCACTCAAATGTTTGGTGAGACTGAATTATTGGCTTTATAAAGTCGCAGACATAATAACATTCCCTCATTTAGCTGCCTTTCCTTCACTGTGGTGCTTGGGATGAAGTTGTTGAGGAACGTTATCTGGGAAATCCTCACATGTGTGGATTCCCTCTATGCGGAGAAGTAGTTGAAGCGAAAATGAGGAAGCAAAGATATCACATAGATAGGATAGCCTGTAAGGTCAGCTAATTTGTTTCTTCTTGAATTTTTTTTTGTAAATCATGTTTTATATAGATTTATGAGCATCGAATTGAGACCGACATGTACTGCTCCCGATCCTGTTTGATGCGGTCTGCCTCTGTGCGGTCTCAGTTGCCCGACGAACCACTATGGCTTTCGGGGAATATTGCGAAAAGACTGAGTGAAACATCTTGCACGTTTAGTTATAACAATCGCGCTTTTATCATCTCACTCTTTCAGCTTCTGTCTACCACATTGAGGGACCTTTGGAACTAGATCGGGAGAGAAAGGAAATTGAAATTGTATGCGCAGTTGAGGAAAAGCTTAGCGAACTGAAGATAAGGGAAGGTGGATCGTCTACGGAGTCTGAAACCGAAGATAACGATGAAAGTGAAACGGTATTGTTTTATTTATCTTATATGCTTTGCCATTGGTTAATTTCCTGCTCACAATGCGCAGCGTCATCGTCAAGCGTTGACCTTAAAGTCATCTTATCTTAAAAATCTTTTTCCTTTATCTTACAATTTTATACTCCTATGAGCCGTGTATAGTGTCGTAACAGTATGCCTGAGCAATTTCAGGACATCAAAGGACTCCTTGACGAGGTCAGCGACATCATAGGAGCTGAAGAGCTTGA